AATATGTATATGTGAATTATTTATTAATTTATTTTTAATCTTTTAATGCTTTCAAAATGCAAATTGCTGTGACATGGTGACAACAAGAGGAAGTCAAAGACTCAAAGCAGTAGGTCCCAAACTATCAATGGTTAAATTAGGATTGTCATTGTCCAAATTTGGAAAAGCCCAAAAACCCACACCAATCAAGATACAACTTTTAAAATTTTACTGATAATAAAGGATATACGAACTTTTTGTTTTTTTTTTTTTTTTAACAGTGTATAATTTGGGGATGGAGGAAGAGAGTTTTTAAAATGGTAGTGAAACTCGAAATCTCAACCACCTCACCCGAGCATTTTAAAACTTGAAGTCAAATCATTAAGTCTAAAGGTTCGGTTCGAACTTTTTGTTTTTCTATTAAGGGTTGCATTAGACAAAAACGATTGATGTAGTTGTTAAGTGTTATTATTCGGCCAAGTTATTATTAGTTGAGATAAAATATGAATGGAGGAGCATCACAAAAGAGGAGAGAGGCATTTAAAAGAAATGAGAACACAAGTGGAGAGAGTAGATGGAGATTTTTTTTTTTTTTAAATGAAATTTAGTGTTATCTTTTTATTTTATTTTTTGTTGCCCACATCAACATACAACCTTTTAACACATCAAACATTTGTTGGGTATCGTAACGACACTTAATGGTTACATCAGCCATCTCCATCTAATGTATGATGTATTATTCAATATGAAAAATTTTTAAAGTCTATAACTTTATATAAAAAAAATAGAAGTATTTATTCTTTTTTTTTTTTTATCTTTTGAACAAACGGTATTTATTTTTGAATTTTAATGTATGATTCATGTGATTATTATGTAGGTATTCTACTTACACCACCAACTTCAAACCTCTTTATTCCCCATTTTCCCTCCTCTTCCCCCAATTCTCCTAATACAAAAAAAAAAAAAAAAAAGAAGGTATTTATCCTTAATTTTAAAAATAAAATTTTATATCATTATTAGCGTTTTGCCGTCCAAAATTTTGTCTTGGGTAATCAGAAAATTAAAAATTGACCCTGGAGCATAACTGTGCCTCACAGGCCCATAGTCCATAGTGGAGCAGGACAGGGTTTCAGTTGTGGGGCTAAAATTAATGGGCTGATGGAAATTTCAAATGGGCATCTTGTGTTTGGGTCTCTTTTAACACCTGAAAAGACTGTACAAACTCCGAAGCTAATGTTTTGTCTTTTTCCTCATTTGTCGTTTTCCCCAGCACTTTTGTGGTTATAGGCTGTATCAGCCTATGGTCCTGCTCAGAACAGACTACGTACGTCTAAGGTCTAGAATCTAGATGCTAAACGATTTGAAACAATCTCAGTAGAAAAATGAGATTTTAAATTAAAAATAAATAAAAATAAAGAGAAAAAGGCCTAAGTTTTTTTTTTTTTGAATTAAGTGAAATTAATATACATTTTTTATCATATTAACATTAATTATATATATTAATTAAGTGAGAAAAAAAAATATTTGTAAGATTCAAATATGTTAGCTCATAAAAAATGAACGATTTTAATTTAGAGTTAATTTAGAATCCATATCAATCAGGAAATTAGTATATATTAATTAAATGAGGTTTGGAGATTGAAATTAGTGATCTTCGAACATGCAATTTATAAAAGATAATTCATATTAATTAGGGTTAAAATCACTAGATTAAAGGTTATAATCACTAGGTGTGAGGATCAAATTTTAAATTTCAATTGGAAACTGTAAATAAGGGATGTTAAAAAATAAAAAGAAAAATTTTTTATTGTAAACTCAAAATAAACATAAAATTATTTAATAATTTATAAATTAGACAACGAAATGAAAGCAAATTATTACATTATTACATTATTAAACCACTTTCCCGCCAAAAGTTTTTCATTAATGTTTTGTACAATCCCTTTTATACTTGCAAATATCGTACTAATATTTTTAGTTTAAGAAGAGAGAAAAAAGTCATTAATGAATTAATGATGCATTAAAACTCATTAATAATAATTTTATCTTTTCTCAGAATGTGACAAATTGTAAAACAACGATAAAAACGGAGTGTACATTGTTCATTTAAATTTAAAAAATCCTCTGAAAAAATAAATAAATAAATAAAGGCTTGATGGGGTGGAAATGGCTTCTCATTCAGTGATTTCCTTTGGGATTTTAGACATTCTAAAGAAAACAACAAATTAACTAAGGGCTTCCTAAATAATATAGCTGATCTCATGGCATTTCATGGAATCTGCTAATCCATATTTCATGCCCTGTTTTGGTATGCAAAATTTTCATCTGTGAAGTAATCCTAATTCCTAAACATGTCAACCATATGTCTGCATCCTACGGCATGAGATGCATCTGTCGGTTTAGACAGTGGTATATGCCCCTCTCGGTGAACCCCTCTCTCTGGCAAAGCCTCCATGGTCAGTTCTCTTACTGGGCATGCCTCCCTACCTAGTCAGTCCCCAAAAGCAGAGAGAAAAAAACCCAAAAAAAAAAAAAAAAAGCATAGAGAGAAACAGAGAAACGTCCCAAAATTCAGCATTTAGTAATCTTCAATCTCCTTACACAGGACAAGAACATCCTACAAAAAAAAAAAGCAAAAAATTGCAGATTACTCAGTTAAGCTAAGATCAGAGAGAGCACCAAAAGAGAAAAAAAAAAAAAATGTAAGCTTACTCCCATGGAACATCCCCAACCATCATCCAATCTCCTTCCCTGTCTTCGTAAGTCAAAACATGACAATTCTCATACTGTATTCCTTCCACGTCTGCTGCCTCAGACCCTGCACCCAAAAAAAAAAAAAAGAAAAAGAGGGAAAGCAAAAGCTCTTCTTTTAATATTCTCTCACAAACATTTCATCGAACACAAACAGATCAAAAACAATTAGAACATAGACTCAACAGAGAATGTTCGTCTTGAACATGTGATCCAGAGTTCTAATCATATCATGGTACCCATCATGAGCCAAAAGATTCAATTTTCTCCCAATCGGAATCCCATCCATGTACACCTTAACAAAGAAACTAGCACTATTGCACTCATTTTCCTCTTCCGCCACCGCCTGCTGCCGCAACCACGACTGCTCCGGCGGCGTAGATGCTGCAATGCTGAGTCCAAGCCGGAGATCAGTGCTGAGATCAGAACCCGACGATCGAGGGAAATGATGGTTGCTGCTCTCTATAGACGACGAAGAAGAACTGCTAGCTCTCCTCCCCATTTCCGGATGTGCAGACAAACAAAGCCGCCACCCAAAGGTTTAAATAAAAAGGAGCAAAATTTCATACGGTAAGTTTGGCAGTATCTCAGTCGAAATAAAAAAATTTGGTTATTTTTAAATAAAAT